ATAGATATATCAAGGAACAGAGATGACTAAATTCTTTAAAAAATTTTTTTAAATTAAACTTTCTATTTTGAGATAGTTGTAGATTTACGTGCAATTGTAAGAAATAATAGAGATATCATATACCCTTTACCCTTCAATAGTAACATCTTGCAAAACAATAGTACAATATCACAACCAGGATATTGACATTTATACAGTCAAGATGTGGAACATTTCCCTCACAAGGATCCCTCATATTGCCTTTTTATAGCCATTCCCACTTCCCTCCTGCCCCTACTCCCTCCTTAACCCCTGACAACCACTAATTTGTTCTCCATTTCGATAATTTTGTCATGTCAAAAATGTTATATAAATGGAATTATATAGTATGTATCCTTTTGAGATTGGCTTTTCTCACTCAGCATAATTCTCTGGAATTCATCCAGGTTGTTGCGTGTGTCAGTAGTTGGTTCCTTTTTATTGCTGTATAGTATTCCCTGGTGTGGATGTACTACAGTTTGTTTAACCACTCGTCTGTTGAAAGTACATCTGGGTTGTTTCCAATTTGGTGCTATTAGGAATAAATCTGCTACAAACATTTGTATACAGGTTTTGTGGGAACATAAGTGTTTATTTTTCTGGAACAAATGCCCAAGAGTGCGATCACTGAGTGGTAGTTGCATATTTACTTTTTAAAGAAGCTGACAAACAATTTTTCAGAGTGATTGCACCATATTTACACTACTAGCGTGTATGAATGGTCCAGTTTTTTCACATCCTTTCCAGTATCTAGTAATGTCACTATTTTTTTTTTTAGCCATTTTGATAGGTGTATACTGGATCTCATTGTGGTTTTAATTTACATTTCCCTAATGGCTAATGATCAACATTTTTTTTGGTATTTACCATCTGTATATCTTTTTCTGTAAAATGTTGCTTCATGTCTTTTGCCCATGTTCTAAATGAATTGTTTGCCTTTTTACTGTTGAGTTTTGAGAGTTCTTTATATATTCTAGATAATAGCCCTTTGCCAGACATATGGTTTGCAAATATTTTCTCACTCTGTAGCTTGTTTTTTCACCCTCTTAAGTCTTTTACAAAGCAAAAGTTCTTAATTTTGATGAAGTCCAATTTGTTAAGTTGTTTTTCTATGGATTGTGCTTTTGATATGAAGTCTAAGAACTCTTCGCCTAGCCCTAGATCTTGAAGATTTTCTCCTATGTTTCTTTTCTAAAAGTTTCAGAGTTTTACTTTTTGTATTTATGTCCATAATCCATTTAGAGTTAATATTTGTGTAAAGTAGAGACTTAAGTTGACATTTTTTTCCCTTCTTCCCATTTTTTGCCCCAGCACCATTTGTTGAAAAGGCTATCTTTCTTCCATTGAATTGCCTTTGCAGCTTTGTCAAAAGTCAGTTGGGCATATTTGTGTGAGTCTGTTTCTGGTTTCTATATTCTTTTCCATTGATCTATGCATCCATCCCTCTGCCAATACCACAGTCTTGATTACTGTAGATTTATAATAAGTCTTGAAATCAGGTAGACTGAGTCCTTCCACTTTATTTTTATTTTTCAAAATTGTTTTAGACATTCTAGTTCCTTTTCCTTTCCATATAAAGTTTAGAATAATCTTCTCTATATCTAAAAATAATCTTTCTTAGATTTTGATAGGATTACATTAAACCTGTGTATCAATTTGGAGAGAATTGATATCTTTACTATATTGAATCTTTTAATCCATGAACATAGGATGTCTCTCCATTTATTTAGATCTTCTCTGATTTTTTATCACCATTATAATTTTCATTATACAAATATTCTATATATTTTGTTAGATTACATGTATTTCATTTTTTTGAGCATTTGTAAATGGTATTATATTTTTAATGTTGATGCCCATGCCCATGTGTTTGTTAATATATAGACATACAAAATATTTTTGTATATTTATCTTATATCCTGTGACTTTGCTGAATTCACTTATTGGTTGGGATTTTCTACAAAGAATAGCATGTCTCCGTCAAATAGGAACAGCTTTATTTCTTCCTTTCCAATCTGTATGTATACCTTTTATTTTCTTATTGCACTGGCTTCAACTTCCATATCATGTTGAATAAGAGTGGTGAGAGTGGACATCCTTGTCTTTTTCCCCAATCTGAGTAGGGAAAGCATTCAGTCTTTCACCCTTAAGTATAATGTTAGCTGTAATTTTTTTGTAGATGCCTTTTACCAAGTTGAGAAAATTTCCTTCTATTCCTATTTTTCTGAGAGTTTTTATTATGAATGAGTGTTAAATTTTGTCAAATAATTTTTCTGCATTGATTGATATAACTATATGTCAATGCAAAATAACCAATAACCATTCTATAGATAAGAGAGGTAGGTGAGTTTTACTTGAGCCAGAGTGAGGATTATAACCCAGGAAGGCCTTTTCCAGAAAGGAAGAAAGCATTCCAGAAAAGCATGGTTTTCAGAACAGTCTTATGCCTTTTTAGACGAAGAACATACATTAAACATGCCCAGGACACATGTTTGTCAAAATTTCGAAGAGGTATGCAGTTGCAAATTAACAGGTCAGCATGATCCTGATGTTGGCAAAGGGTGTTACCAATAGGGCATAGGAGGGGAAGTATGTATTCTTATCTTAAGAGAATGCATTCCTTATTTTAATGCTTAAAGCAGATGTACAATGTATGTTTGATAGGCCGTTAAGTCAGGCTTCTTTAGTTCAAGCCATTCAGGTTCAGTTTTAAACCTGAATGGTTACCTTATATACCTCAATATGTGAAAATCTCTTTCCAATGTGATATTCTTCTTTAACCTGTTGACATGGTGGATTATATTGATTGATTTTCAAATGTTGAACTAGACTTGCATACCTGGAATAAACTTCATTTGGTCATGGTGTAATTTTTATATGTTGCTGAATTCTATTTGCTAATATTTTGTTAGGGATTTCAGCATCTATATTCATGAAAGTAGTTTTTTTTTTGGCATCAGGGTCATACTAGCTTCATAAAATAAATTAGGAAGAATTCTCTCCTATTTTCTGGAAGAGATTGTATAAAATTGGTGTTAATTATTCTTTAAATGTTTAGTAGAATTCTGTAGTGAAAGCATCTAGGCCTGGACATTTCTTTTTTGGGAGTTTTAAAATTATGAATTCAATTTCCTTAATAGTTATAGGGCTATTTCAATTATCTTTTTCATATTGGGTGAATTGTAGTAGTCTGTGTTTTCAAAGAATTGGTCCATTTCATCTAAGTTGTCAAATTTATGTGTGTGGAGTTGTTCATTCCATTGTTATTCTTTTTATGTCTGCAGGGTCTGTAGTGATAACCCTGTTTCATTCCTAATGTTGATAATTTTGTCTTTTCTCTCTTTTTTTCATTCTTGCCAGAGGTTTGTCAATTTCATTGATATTTTCAAATAACTAGCTCCTTGTTTCATTGATTTTCTGTATTGTTTTTCTGTTTTCAATCATTGATTTTTGCTCTTATCTTTATTATTTTCTTCCTTCTGCTTGCCTTGGGTTTATTTTGCTCTTCTTAAACTAGAACCTTAGATTACTGATTTGAAACTTGTACTCATTTATAATGTGTGCACTTATTGCTAAAAATTTCTCTATTAGCGCTGGTTTTGCTGTGTCCCACGATGTTTTGTATTTTCTTTTTCACTTGTATTTTTAAATTTCCTTTGAGATGTCATTTTGACCCATGGATTATTTAAAAGTATGTTACTTAGTTTCCAATTGTTTGGAGATTTTTCGGTTTTCTTTCTGCTATTGATTTCTAGTTTTGTTTCAGTGTGGTCAGAGAACACATTCTGTATGATTTTAATTCTTTTAAATTTGTTGAAGTCTGTTTTATGGCCCAGGATATGATATTGTGGTATATGTTCCATGGACACTTGAAAAGAATGTATACTCTGCTGTTGTTAGGTGGAGTGTTCTATAAGTATCAGTTAGATCCTGCTTGTTGATGGTGTCATTGAGATCTTCTATATCCTTGCTGATTTTCTGTTTAGTTGTTTTATCAATTGTTGAGAAAGGGGTGGTGAATTCTCAACTATAATTGTGTATTTGTCTATTTTCCTTTTAGTTCTATCAGTTTTCACTGCATGTATTTTGCAACTCTTGTTTTGGTGCACATACATTTAGGATTTCTATGTCTTGAATTAACTCCTTTATCATTATATGGTGTCCCTCTGATAATTTTCTTTGCTCTGAAGTCTAATTTGTCTGATATTAAAATAGTTACTCCTGCCTTTCTTTGGTTAATTGTTGCATAATATATATTTTTTCATCATTTTACTTTGAACTTGCCTATATCATTATATTTGGAATAAGTTTTTTGTAGACAGCACATAGTTGGGTCATGTTTTAAAATCCATTCTGCCAATCTCTGTCATTTTATTGGTGTAGTTAGACCATTTATATTGGATGTAATTATTGGTTTTTTTAGGGCTTAGGTCTGCTGTTTTTTGCTTTCTGTTCATTTTTTCTGTTTTCTTTTCTCCCCCTACCTCCCTGTGGGTTACTTGAACGTTGTTTATAATTCCATTTTGATTTATCTATGTTGTTTTGAGTTTGTCTTGTTGTATAACTTTTTTTTGCGGTTGCTTTAGGTATTACATTGTATATATATAACTTATCACAGTCTATTTGTTTTGTAATTTTACCAATTCAAGCATAAAAGCCATACCTCCCTTTATGTCCCTTTACACTATCTTGTTTATAATATAGTTGTGTTAATATTTACTCTATATACATTTATAATTACATCAGACAATGTTATTTGTGCCAACAATCAAACATAATTTAGAAAACTCAAGAGGAGAAGGAAAGACTATTATATTTACCTATATTTTTGCTTATTGTGTTCTTCCTTCCTGATGTCCCAAGGTTCTTTCTTTTTATCATTTCATTTCTGGTTAGAAAACTTCATTTAGCCATTATTTTAGGACAAGTCTGCTGGCAACAAATTCTGTTAGTTTCCCTTCCTCTGAGAATGCATTGATTTCGCCTTTTTCCCAAACGACATTTTTGCTGGGTGTAGGATTCTGGGTTGACAGTTCTTTTTTTCCATCACTTGAAAAATGTTGTGCCACTGTCTTCTGGCCTCCATTATTTCTGGTGAGAAATCTGCTGCCATTCTAATTGTTTCCCCCTACCTATGAGATGTCATTTTTCTCTGGCTGCTTTCAGGATTTTTTTTTTTTTGTCTTTAGTTTTCATTTTAATTATGATGTGTCTTGGCATGTATTTCTTTGGGTTTATCCTGTTTAGAGTTTGCCAGCTTCTTGAATCTGTAGGTTTATGTATCTCACCAAATTTGTGAACTTCAGACATTACTTCCTTCAGTACTTTTCAGCTCCATTCTCTTTCTCTTCTCTGGTAGGACTCTGATGACATGAATGCTGGTTTTTTTTTGTCATAGTCCCACAGATCCTGGAGATTTGTTTCATTTTTTTTTTTAGTCTGTTTCTCTCTGTTGTTCAGATTGTGTAATTTCAGTTGGTGTATCTTCCAGTCCACTGGTTCTTTCCTCTGTCCCTTCCATTCTGCTGTTAAATCTATCCATTGTGATTTTTTACTTCAGTTATTATAGTTTTCAGTTCTATAATTTCCATTTGGTTCTTCTTTATATCTTCTGTGTTTTTGCTGAGACTTTTTTTTTTGCTAAGGCCTTCTATTTCTTCATTTGTTTCAAATGTGTTCTAATTGTTGAAGAGGTTTTATTGTGGTTGCTTTAAAATTTTGTGAAATAATTCTAACATCTTTATCACATCTGTATTAGCATCTATTGCTTGTCTTTTTACGTTCAGTTTCAGATCTTTCTAGTCCCTGCTATGAAAAGTGAATTCAGTTGAAACATAGACATTTTCATTTTATGTGATGAAACTCTAGCTCTTACTTACACCTCTGTTTTAGTTTGCTTTCTCTGATACCACTTCAACAGGGTAAGGGAGGGTGCTGCCTCCTTACTGCAAGGTGGAAGTAGACGTCCAGGTTCTGCGCTTGGCCCTTATCGACACCCAAGGTAGCAGCTTCTTGTTTTGCTGGTGACCGTGGTGGAGGCAGTCTTGTTACTGCTGGGCAGTGGTAAGAATCCTGATTCTCCACTAGATGTCCTATGACATCCCAATCCTGCAGGGAGGGAAAGAGGTGCCTTGTTATAGGCTGGCAGGGATAGAATCTAGGCTCCCTACTTGGCATTCATTGGCATATGGTTTGAGGGGACAGTTTATTCCATGGCTGGAATTGAGCAGTTATCTTCTAAAAGTTTTCTGTCTTGCTCAGTTGTTCCTTTTCTGGTCCTAGAGAGAACAGGCTTTTGTTGGGGCTTTTTTTGCCTGCACCTGTTGTCAATTCTAGGTTGCCAGCTTCTTCAACTCTAAGACTGGGATATGTGGGACAAAAAGAAACTCAGAGAACTCATCACTGTGTCATTCTTAAGGTCCCCAAATCCCTAGCCACTCTGCCCATCTGCCTTCTTCTCTCCATATTCATATTTTTTCTTATGTTTGTTTTCTATGTAATGTCCAGGATTTTTAGATTTTTGTTGTTTTTTTGTGTGTGTGTGTGAGGAAGATCAGCCCTGAGCTAACATCCATACCAAGCCTCCTGTTTTTTTGCTTGGGAAGACTGGCCCTGAGCTAACATCCATGCCCATCTTCCTCCACTTTATGTGGGACGCCGCCACAGCATGGCCTGACACACAGTGCATTGGTGCGGACCCTGGATCCAAACTCAGGCCGCCAGCAGCAGAGTGCACGCACTTAACCGCTATGCTACGGGGCCGGCCTCCCAGGATTTTTAGTTTTATTGGCAGGAGGAATAGGGAAAAGTACATCTACTCCATTTTCCCAGAAGTGGAAATACCTGGGTTTGGTGGGGTTTTTTCCTCACTGTTTTTAGCATTCAGGCTTCAGAATAGACTTTTCTCCCTGTCTGGAGAACCCTTCAACTATCTAAGTCTTATTTATTATTTAAGTTTCAACTTAAATATTATTATTCAAAAAGACTTTCTGTTCCCTGGATAAGTTTGAGTTCATCTTTGCCAAATATTCCCAGAGCACCTTGTATTGCTCTTATCATCTCCATTATCATACAGTTATTAATTTAATGTCTGCATTACTAAATGGTTTGTAATTCCATAAAGGTGAGGGTTATGACATTGTTGTTCATCACTGTACCAAATATCTGGTGCCTACTGCAGTGCTCAGGACAAAGTAGGCATTTTACAAATTCAGGTTGAATGTACCTATTTATGGTTGGTTCTTGAATATTGACTTATCTGATCACTCCAAGTGCTCCCTGAAACTTCCTTGGCCACCTGGACTCCTCCTCTGGGACTCCTGGAGTTCCTCATGATCCAGAAACTTGAAGGATAATGCTGGGCAAAGCAAATTCTCCAGGTTCATGCTTCAGACCTAAGGCTTGGGTCCATTCTGGGTGGTTGTTGCTTTGGGCATACCAGTTAACATAGTTTTATCTCATCCTGATTATAAAAATGAATGAATTAGGTTCAGAAGCTCCAAGCTTATCTAGCACACCTAAGCCATAACCAGTAAAACTCCTCTGAATGTGCTTTCCTCCATAATCTGAATAATTCCTTATAGCTCTTATTGTGGTTGATTCCCCTTTTTTTCTTATGTTGACTCTGGCCTGAGGATATACAGTGAGATGTTCTAGGAGAGTCATCATAGCTCCAAGCCGGTTCTTCCTTGCTTCATCTCTAACCCAGGTCTTACTTCCTGAGACAGGTCTTTTTTAGGGTATATTCCTTATATTTCCAAAACTGGATCATAGGTCACAATATAACAGTCTGCTTCATGGGCCATGTGACTTCTTTCACATTTTACACTGAGAGACTTCATCTCCCTTCCTACTGGACTCTGGTTCAAGAGAAGTTGTGAAATGACTCCTTAGGATCATATCCCAAGTCCATATCCTCCTCAAACACTAGTTCTCCTCTATTGTTGGTACCCACACTCCTTTCCCTAGTTCACAAGGTAGGCTTCCCCACGCACCTCCACCAACGACTACAGTCTATACCCTCTAAAGTTTTTCCTGAATTAATATTTTTTCTTTGATTCATTCATTCTGTTCTATCAGGCCCCTTTGCTCTGTGGACAAACCAGTGTGTCCCTGATCCTTCTTTTATGGTTCTGCTCACTCTCAAAAATTAGCCATTTAATTATTGAGAACAGATATCTCTTGGAAGTTTCAGCTATTTGCATTTCTCTGTTCTTTACATTGTAAATTTTTTTCACTATTGTGATTTTGGCATCTATACATCAAAGCAAAGGTTGCGATTAGCCAATTAGGTTTTGAATCTCTACATGATTCAACCAATCTTTTTTTTTAAATCATGTATTTCATTCTAGTTCCATCCTTAGGGAACCAAGGAAAGCATCAGGTTACATTACTATCTCTGATCGCTTAGCAGTACTTATCCACAATCTTGATTTGCAGAGGATTTTGAGACTGTCAAAGGACTGACGTGATTGATTACTAACGTGTGCAAGACCAAGGCCAGGAGGAGTGATGTCCTTCTTGTCTTATGCATTCATATAGATGCTCCCATTGTCCATGATTCTCTACCTTCTTTACATTTTGCTTCCTTTATTGAGGGTACCTGGATGAACAGATGGATACTTGAGACTGAGAAGCAGAAGCTTCCAACTTCTGATTACCCCTTTGCCAATGACAAGGCTGCCATGATTTTCAGGAGGAGGCTGAGTACTTTAGATCCTCTTCCTGATGAAATTACTTTGAAACATTTTTACCTTGGGTTTGAGACTGCTAATTGCTGACTTTTTATTATTTTCATAGGCATCACTCAGCATATTTGGCATGGTCAGTGGACCACTTCTGGGCCTGTTTGCTTTGGGCATTTTGGTTCCTTTTGCCAACTCAATTGTAAGTACACTCAACTGTAAGTATAAAGAATGAATATGTGTAAGGCTTTCTTTCCTAAATACAATTTTTTCTCAATTGTAAAGATGAGGTACCTTTGATATCTGTCATTAGTGACTTGTCTCAATGACTTTAATTACTCATATTGACTTTGCTGGGGTGTACAATGAAGTATTGTGCACTAAGACTCTGCATGTGTGAAGCTAAATGGAAACTGCCAGAATGATATATATTATATTATATACAATTATATATTATATATAATTATATTCTATATTGAAAATAGAGTATTATAGAACATAACTAAAGGATATATATTGTGAAATAATATATATTATGATATGTGATATATATTATGGGTATTATATAACTGAACGAACAACACTTTTTGTGCATTTATCTTTCTGCCATTCTTGAAAATTAACCACTAGGATTTAAAGAAGGAGATCAACAGGCTTAGATATGAAAGATTTAAGGGCAGTAGAGCTGAGGATACCTGTGAATAGCCAGAGTACAGTAAAGAGAAGTGATAAGATAAGATCTTTACCATCTGGGCCAGAAACTTTTTGCTCCTGGTATTTAAAGCTGTAGCTCCACTAACAGATTCTAGCCCCAGATGGGTGATCATAATGGGGAATAATATCCAGAAACAGGTAATATCTCTGTTCTTCTGCATAGACATATTTGTGCTTCAAAGTACTAAATTTTGTTTGGAATAAATGAAATCAAAATTATTTCTCTGAAACCCCAGTGGTTCAGTCCTTCTGTGAGTTGAAGTTCAAGAAAAACTGATAATGTATGTACAGTTGTTTCAGACAGATATAGAATAACTACAGAACTATGACTTTACATTTAGATTAAAATGCCATTCTTTACATTCAAATTCCATTTGCCTCATAAGGCAATAGGAATTGGTAAGGTAGATACTAATAAGGGCTGTTATTGTTGTTATTGTTATTAATAATAATTCACAATGAAGTGTCACATGAAAAGCTAGTTGGGTAGAAATTGACAATGAAAGAGAGTAGTTTGTGTCCACCTCAGAATGTTGAAGCTTTAATTAGACTCGGCATTATGAAATGCATGGTGGTTTGTTGAGTGTCTGAAACGTTAAAAAAAAGACTGACTTTTGGTTTTTGACATTTATTGCCACTGTGAGTTGCCTCCAGAAAACCTGTGGCTGACTAGGTCCAACACGTCCTTTTTCAGGGGAAGTGGGATACTGTTGTGCCTATCATAAGAAGTACCTCTTTTTACTATATTCATGTTTTTCACCAGCAGAATGTCTATCCTTACCTTGGAGTGGACTTCCTCTCTCCATCTCTCCCTCACTCCCTCCCTTCCTCCCTCTTTCCTTCCCTTCTTCCCTTCCTTTACTTCTCTTCCTCCCTTCCTCTCATTCATTCATTCATTGAATATTTATGGGCTGAGCACTATCCTGGGAGTAGGGAGCACTGAATATTTCTGCCCTCGTGGGTTTTATAATTTTGTGGATCCTTGATCAATCCATGTACATTGTGGAGAGTAGGCAAGTCTGGCCTGTCAATAGCTGGCCAGACCTACTATTTCAACCTCATATTATTCAAAAACATTTATTGCATGACTGCTATATCTCTAGCACTGTGGTGAGTACTGGGGCTTCAAAAATAAAGAAACCTAATTCTGCTCTGAAGGGTTCATGGCTTAGCGAAAGAGCTCACAGTCCTTGTCCCCAACATAAATCCTCTGATCTGGTCAGCAGCCTTCTCATTCTCCCATCAACATACCATTCTTTTTTTCTGCCCTATGATTTTGCTTATGTTTTTCCCCTTACTTCACATATTCTCACCTGTCCTCTCTATGTGGAACCTGAGGCACAGGCTGCCCTGTCTGATCATTATTCTTGAAGGAAGGGGGGAAATTTCACAACAAGAGCTTCCCAGCTCAGGGTTTGCTTTTGTGTCTATCATTTGAAACTAGGGCTTAAATCATTCAAGGGCCGGGAGAACGCCTGGATTACATGTGAAAAGCAGGAGTGGGGGACCCAAGTCTTCCAAAGATTGGGAAGCCAAATGTCTTCAAAGAGGACATCTCCACTTATCTCTGGAAATACTTGGTTTGGTTGTCTGCATCATGCAGTCATTTGTGAAAACTGCTTGCTGTTTTGCCCCTAATTACCATAAAGCACAATTACAATCATGCATGTTGCTAAGTATAGGAATAAACTCTGTGTATGCTTTCTTCTTCATAGTCTGTTGCTCATATGGCATGCCATTTGTTCACAGATTAAATGAAAAGAGAGGGAACAATTGGCCTGGAATTAACTACATGACTGTTGTAGTTATTTAGGTATGAAGAGACAAGGGGGCCAGAACAGACTGCTGGCCGTGGACACAGGGTGGAAGGAATGGAATTATGAGACACATGAAAAGAAAAATGGATAAGAATTGGTGATTGACTAGATAGGAATGTGAAAAAGGGAATGGGATTACAGAGTCCCCAGGGCTCTGGGCTGAAGGACTAGGGGCTCATGTGGCCTTTGACGGGAGGCAGGGATCTTGTAAGGGGGAATAGTTTTAGGAGGGAAGCAGGTAAGTTTGACTTGGGTTATATCGAGCTGACCCTTCTAATGTTAATTTCCATCTCAAAGCAAACTGTATTATTTTTCTTTTAAAAGCACTCTTGTTTTGCAGGGAGCACTTGCTGGTCTGCTGACTGGATTTGCTGTTTCTTTGTGGGTCGGAATTGGATCTCAGCTTTACCCTCCACTTCCTGAGAGAACTATGCCACTAAGCCTTGAAACTCATGGCTGTAACAGCACATACAATGGAACAAATTGGATGACAACCACAGAAATGCCATTGTCTACTAGTGCTTTTCAAGTACACAATGTTGAAAGGTGTTGAATTAAGTTTTATAATGTCATATTTTTAAAAAACGTATGTGACAGGTAGAGAACCCCTATTGCTTTTTGTCTTGCCTGCAGTGATGCAATTTTGCCTAATTCTGAAATGGGTAGAGCCCGTGTGGCTTTCTGGCTATAATATTTTGTTCAGAAATGGAAAAAATGCCATATTTCCTTAATTTTGGTAGAAACTTCTGCCTCACCTACAGATCTGGAGAAGACTTGAATAGTAACAACAACAAAAAATTCTGTTATGGGTAAATGCTACCAAATACCAGATCTAGTTAAATGAAAAATTGTCTTTGTCAACTGAACAACTTTTAAAATGAAAAGCACGATTATAAAAGCAACACTGCTTATATAGTATTTGAAGTATAGCCGTAATTATCTGCGTATGTTGGATAATTGCTGTTTGTTCAGTTTTAAAGATTCTAAATGTTGAGAGTGCTAGCCATGAGTTGCAGCCGTGATCTCCTTGCTAGAGTTTTCAGTATGCAGTACACTTTTGAGCTTCTGGATACTGACGTCATCTGATTTAATGAAATGATGCAGACCTGTCGGTAGATAAGTGCTTGATTGTATAGTGAGTGTGAGGGCAAGACTTTCTTTAGTGGATATATAAACGTTGTCTTAAAGCACAAACCTCATGGATGTGTTCAAGGAACGCAAAGATGAAGCCATTGCCTCCAAAGTATGACTTGCGTTCCAGCTTACCTGGAATGGAACCATTAGAGGATCATTCCCTTTGGGTCAAGACATGGTATCTGCCTCTTAAAATGGACACACTCCTTCGAGAAAGAACGTGACTGTTATTATTAGCAGTTCACATCCTGGACGGAATTCAGCTATGAGAGTGCTTGCCAGTGGGAGTTCAAGGCTGGTAAACTCTGGATGGGTAGAAAGAAAAGATAGTTCCAGAGCCTGAGGCCTATCTGGGGAGGTTTGACTAGGTATGGTGCTGTGGGGAGAGGAGCAAGGAAATGCAAGGAGCAGTCTGGACAAGCATGAAAGAACTAACGGAGGGGTCAGAAGTCGTTAGAGTCAGAAAGTGAGAAAAGATGAATGGAAGGGCACATGGGAGGATTTTCAGGATGTGCTTCTTGTTTCACAATTTTGCTTAGCATTTTTTTATGATTATGTAATTATCTGTCTTAATTTGAGTGTAAGGCAAAATAGTTATTTGGATTCCTGAAACAAAGAAATTATCTGAGATTTACCATGTACTTGGTACCTGGTACCATAATAATTACTTTTTAAAATCAGTTTTATATGTTAGCTTATTTATAAAATAACTCGGCCAATACAAGAATTTTTGAGCGTGAACTATGTACTCAGCCCTGGGCTGGCCATTTATGTAATATCCATAGAAAATCGTTTCCACTTCACTGTGGTTCCTGCCTTCCAGGAAATTATAATCTAGCTGGAGAGAATGTGCTAATATACACGTTAACTCAGTAAGCACAGTAAGTCTAATAGCGAGCACATGGTAAATAGCTAATAAATACTTGATAAATATTTGTTAAAAGAATGAATATAAACAAAGTTGAAGTGGAAATTAGCATGAAGACTTCAGAGATGTTGTACTTCTTGAAGAATGCAGAGATTGGCTAGAGGGGAAAGGTCTGGAAAGTCATTCTTGCTTCAGAAAATGACCAGAAGGGAAATTGGACAAGAAAAGAAACAAACAATAAGTTGAGATAAATGGTATTCACAGGCTATCGTGGGAGCTGGGAGGAGGAAGAGCCTAACTCTTCCTGGGTGGGGTCAAGGGGAGCTTCTTGGAGGAGTATTGCATGAGCTAGAGTTGATCAGGTGAACAAGATTGGGCAGACGGGACAAAAGGAAGAGGAGTGTGTATTGCAGGATGGAGAAACAGCATATGTAAAGGCATGAAGGCCTGAAGCCACATGGTATCATCTTAGGAATCATACATAGTTCGGTATTGCTAGAGTACAAGAAGAGTGAATGTCACAGCTGAAGATGAAATAAGATACCCTTTGGTTGCCTGGAAACTGAGTTTCAATTACCCAGATTCAGTTTTTACTTTTTAAGTTCCCAATACTTGACAGGTATATATTGGTAGCTCATTGTGGTTTTCATTTGCATTTCTCTTATGATTAAGTTCAATACCTTTTTATATGTTTATTGGCCATTTGGATATTTACTTTTTTGTCTTTATTGAAATCTCTAGTCCATTTTTAAATGGATTCTCTGTCTTTTTCTTATTCATTTAAGAGTTATTGATATGCTCTAGATATAAGATATGTCTTGAAAACATTTTTCTCCCACTCTGTCTTTCTACTCTGTTAATGATACTTTTTGGTGGTCGGAATTTCTTAATTTTAATTAAGTTCAACTTGTCAGTCTTTTCCTATACGGTTAGTCTTTTGTGTGTCTGGTTAAGAAACCTTTGCATACCCTGAGGTCATAAAGATATTCCTCTAATTTTTCATTGAAAAGCTTTATTGTTAATCATTTCCATTTAGGAAATGTAATCCATTTTGGAATTGATTTCTGTAGGTGCTGTGATCAAGCTTCATTTTTTCCCATATGGATACTCAGCTAACCAAACACCATTTATTGAAAAAGACCCTCCTTTTGCCCTATTGCAATGCAGTGGCAACTTGGACATAAACCAAATGACTGTTTTCCTGTGGATCTGTTTCTCGATTCTCTATTCTGTTCTATTCTGTCTGTCTTTGGCCCAATAATACCACATTATCTTAATTTCAATAGCTCACCTCAGTGCATTTCCCTTCTTTCTGGGACCTTGGCCCCTCAAGTTCCAATTGTCATGATCTCTCTGGTGTCTTAAAGAAACCTGCCTTCCGGGGCCAGCCTGGTAGCATATTGGTTAAGTTCGCCCACTCAGCTTCGGTGGCCTGCAGTTTGCAGGGTCAGATCCCAGGCGTGGACCTACATACCGCCCATCAAACCATGCTGTGGCAGGCGTCCCACGTACAAAATAGAGGAAGATGGGCACGGATGTTAGCTCAGGGCCAATCTTCCTCAGCTAACATCTGTTGCCAATCTTCCTCACCAATAAAAAAAAAACCCCAAAACCTGCTTTCCCACATCCCCCAGTTTTTATATATTGTTCTTGGCAAGATGGTTGGTTTAAATCAAGCTACTCTATCAACGCTGAAAGTGGGATCCTAGAGCAATCGCTTTAGAAAGAGATCAGATCATGTTGCTCCTCTACTTAAAATCCTGCCACGAGTGCCGTATCCCGGAGAATAAAATCCAAACTCATTCAAGTCCCACAAAAAGACCTCCCATCTGGTACCGCTCTGTCTTGCTCACTGTGCTTCAGTCAGCTGGTGTTCACCTCTCTCCAGGATGTTTTCCTCAAGAACTTTTTGTTATTCAGATCTCAGTTCAAATGTCACTTCTTCACAAAGGCTTTCTCTGACCCCACATGACAGTGTAGTTCCTTCTCTCCACCGAGCTAATGTCACATTGCCTTGTTTTATTTTCCTTACAGTATTTTCCACCAGTGGAAATTATTATATTTATTAATTAGTTTACTTGTTTATTGTATTTATTTCCCCATTAGAATGTGAACTTTGTGAAGAGAGGAACCTTAGCTACCTGTTTTATGGTGGACTTGCCAATGACAAGAACAGTGCCTGGGACATAAAGCAGAGTTGAATGAATATATATGAACGTTTAGTATTATAGTATATGGTCAAGGTTAAGTCATATTTTAAATCCTGATCCAATAAGATAAAATTGGGGCAGCAGATTATGACATTAACAACATTATTAAATATTATATTTTGACTTTGCCATGAGGATTATTGACACATACTCTTAGTTGCTGGTAGCATGACATGAAATCTTATAGTTACACTTTTGTTTTCCCTTAGGACTCCACTGATGGATAACTGGTATTCCTTATCATATCTATACTTCAGCACTCTTGGAACTTTGGTGACGTTTTTTGTGGGAATGCTTATCAGTTTACCAACAGGTAACTCTCTAAACATTATTATTGATGTAATTACCTCCCTGTCGGGCTTTACTATATCTGTTTTATAGCTATGTATGTTATTTTACTATAGTCGTGTTAACAGCTAGTTTAATTATTTGTTCCATTTCACTCATGGGAAATTTGAGAGCCTGGACTTGAAAGAAGACGACTCATCTCTATTTGAATCTTTGTTCTGCCGTTCACTAGCTGCATGACCCTGGGGAAGTCTATGTAGCTACTCTGAGCCTTAGCTATCTTATGTGTAACATGAGGATAATAATAATTGACCTGCCTAGCTCACACGTTGCTGTAAGATAAAAATAAAATACTTGAAAAAATTGTCCATGGCTACTACACTGCCAGGGATTTTACACCCCTGCATCATGATCTTTTCATTGTCCTATGTTGACTGTTTGTAAACTGTAAAGAAACATACACATATAAGGAATAATAATTATAATCCTTATATCTAAACATAGTGGGAAGGCTTTTTTTCAGATGTTCATAAACTTAAAAAAAAAATAGTTTAAAAAAATCAAACTGGTATTACACATAGTACACACTGCTCTCTGGGATTGCTATAGAATCGTTATCCCAGGACTTCATTTTGTCCTTGTTCTGTGAATTCCCTTGGCCTCCCTCCTGTGTTGGATTCCCTACTGCCTGCATCCCGTTAATCCTAATTCTTGTTTACTCCCTTTATTGAATGGAACACATCCTATAGCATGTTCTTGAGAAAGAGTGGACAAGAGAAGAGATTTTTGGAAACATTGCATGTCTGAAAAAAATGTCTTTAATTCCTTGTTCTATTTGACTGATAATTTGTTTGAGTAGAGAATCCTAGGTTGAAAATAATTTTCTTGTTCCTGAGAGGATGTCTTAATTTTCTTCTACCTTACTATGTTGCTGTTGAGAATGCCAGTGCCATGCTGCCTGCTAACCCTTTGCATGTGACCCATTTCACAAGGACTGCCTTGCCCTAGGCCCTCAGTAGGGTCCTTTCAATCTGAAGAGCCATGTCCTTCAGTTCTAGGGCATTTTCCTATATTATTGCTTTTGTAATTTCTGGCCATTTTCTATTTTCTTTTTCTGGAAACTTCTGTCAGTCAAGTGTTTGAGTCTTGGACAGTTCTAATTTTCTTATCTTTTTTTTCCTATTGTCCATTTCTGTGTCTTTTAGATCTACTACATGGGATATTTTTTCAACTACTTTTCCAATAATTCTCAGAGGAGCACTCTGATCCAGTTTTGAGAATAGTCTGTAAGGGAAGAGGGCAGGTAGTAGGCTATTGCAGTAATCTGGGTGAGCGATCACGGTGGCTCAGACCAGGGCAATATTGTGGAGCTGGTGAAAGATACCTGGCCCTCTTGGCCTGGTGGCATAGTGGTTAAGCTCAGTATGCTCCACTTTGGCGGCCCAGGTTTGCGAGTTCGGATCCTGGGTGCAACCTATACCACTCATCAAGCCATGCTGTGGCAGCGACCCACATACAAAATAGAGGAAAGATTGGCACAGATGTTAGCTCAGGGCCAATCTCCCTCACCAAAAAAAAAAAAAAAAAAAGTGCCTGGCCCCCTAATTTCCTATGTTCCCTCACCCATATGCATCCACAGCAACCACACTAGGGGAAGGCAGCTCCATTGCCCTCTTTGTCAAATGTGTAATAACTAGTCAGAAATCCTACACTTTGTCCAAGTATGTCTGATGTCTTTGTTTGCTTTATGCTACAAAGCTACCAGCACTGTGCCACTTTAAGGACTCCTACTACCAATCATTGTCTTTTGGCACCTGGATAGCACTATCTTTCCAACTTCTGTGACACTTGTATTTAGAATTAATAAATTATATTAGTAGTTAGTGGTGATAATATAATTATATAAGTAATGATATTAATTATAATATAATTATTATATAGTACAATGTATAATTATTATACATTTATAATAAAGTTTATAGGTATTTGTTACCTCTCAAACAGTTGTTTTTAATTATTCTCTTTCTTTTCAAAGAGGACAGTGTTTCCTTCTCATAAAAAAAATTACCAGCACAGTAGGTCTATTCTCTTATCTGTTTTGATATATTTTAAGACAGATTTTAAGCTTTTTGCACCAGTAACCCAATTGTTCAGATCTGGAATACACCTAACTAATCTCCTTATACTATTTGACCTTTAGTCCTTGTTCAACCCATTTTTTTTTTCTTTAAGAAAATGAGGTATCAGAGTACTTCCTTTCAGTACTCCTTTTTTTTTCCTTAAATGTTTTGATTCTAATAACCATAAACAACTAAATCTTTTGTTTTAAAAAGTAATGCTCTACCCAAATGAGCCAGCATCCAGTGATAAAAAACACTTCAACTTCATTAATTTCATAAATGACTTATTCCCATTTGACAGCAGCAGTGAGCACCTTGAAAAAAAATTTAGAGACATAAAATCCTGATGCTCCTTGGCAAATATATGTAAAAATCTACTGTAGGATACCAGGACTCTGGAAGAATTCCGGCCAAACAGACTTGGTTGGTGTCTCAGCGTCACCTGACTATGTACTGTGCTTCATGTCTCTTCATCAGTAGAGTGGGGTAAATGATTGCCTGAGTAGACCATAAGCTACGAGTGCAGTGATTGGTTTATTCATCTCTATCTCTCTAGCACCTTGTAGAGTCTCCAGCACATGGTAGGCACTCAGCAGTGTTGAATTAATTAATTTCAAGTTGATTCCATCTCCAGAACAGCAGAGGTTCCCATCTAGTATTTTACTAAAGTGGTGGTTCTCAAACATTAGAGTGCTTCAGAAATTTGGTAAGAGTCTGGATTCAGTGGCCCCACCCCAGAGGTTCTAATTGGATCAGTCCAGATTGGAGTCCAGGAATCTGCATTTTAAGTATGTCTCTCCTAGGTGATTTGGATAGAGGTAGTTTGAGAACCACTCTTTGAGACACATCGTTTTAAAAGCATCCTATTTGATCGGCAAATAAATGCCAAACCAGAGAATGATTTTGTATAAAGCAAAACCTTAGAGAAGAGAAATTGGATCAAACACCAGTCACATATTGTTTTTCATTTAAATAACATGTTCAACCATTTGTGTTTTCCTGCATTTCTTCACACACATCTTTATTCACAGCCACCCAAATTGGAGAAAGGCAACTCCACTGTCTGAAGCAAAGGTAGATGATTTAATATTTTATTGGTAGATCATGAAGGATGCTTTTAAACAAGTTTTCCTATCATTACTGGGCCAGATGACTCTTTCTCTGGTTGAGCCCCGGATGAGGGAGTTGGCTTGCATTTAAAAGCCATCTTATGTATCTTTAAACATTAGACTCATATTTATCACAGTAAGAGACTTGCAGAATCTGAGACTGACTGAGGGAAGGGAAATGGTGGGCTAAGTCTCCAGCACTATGTAGAAGATTCTCTTTCTCTTTGTGTTTTATGAATGCATAGACTTAACTGCACAAGTTAAATGCCTGTATGATGGACTGTCACTGGGTATTTACAGGTATCTTTTTAACAATGTAAATAATGTATATGTTTTTCAGGAGGAAGAAAACAAAACTTAGACCACAGATTCCTACTAACCAAAGAGGACTTTTTATCCAATTTTGATGTTTTTAAGAAAGTAAGTTGGCTTTCTTTTTTCTTAAATTAGTAAGACTGTGATTTTTATCATCAGGATAGAATACTAGCTAATCCTTAGACTCTCTTTTGAACTCTGATGGACAAGCAAGGTATTTTCCCTATTCTTTGATGATCTATTTCTGTTGTATATCTCTTCCTCAGTAGACTATGAAGCTGATTTAGAGAAAGAAAAGCAGTAGTAACAATTATTTAGAATCGAATGAATGAACAGTTTGTTTTTTCTAATCACCCTGTTAACATTTTCTTTTAGAAGAAGCATGTTTTAAGCTATAAATCTCATCCAATGGAAGATGGTGGAACTGATAATCCTGCCTTCAACCATATTGAATTGAACTTCACAGATCAAAGTGGCAAGATCAAAGGGACTCATTTGTGAAGGAGCTTGGATACTAAATGATCTTAAACAGTGTCCCAGTTTTATATGTTTTCTAAGATAATTGGATCAGGTTTAGATTTTTTGTTGTTGTTGTCTATCATGAGTGCTTTGGGGGTAAGTTTTGGGGGATAAGCTTTTGTTAAAGCAAAGTCCTGACTTTCTGTTCACTTACTACCCTCATTAATCGATGCTATTCTGGAATCAGGAGTTTCAGCATCAGCATTTCCCTCGATCTCTCTTTTATTTCAACGAACCTATAGTTGTGAAAGTTATGAGAGTTATGACTGCATCTCTGTTGAAAAGCTAATGCACACATATACACACATACTTGATGATCAAAAGCAGATTCTTAAATTTGGGTATTATTAAAAATATTTTCCATGCATTTGCTGCTAGCATATAAGTTTTGGGGTTTGCCATAATCATAACTTATATTGAAAAGAGCTTATCTCCTCTCTACTACATACTCTATTCTTAGGGAGCAATGAGGTGACAGGTCTCTGTTGTCTAGATCTTTGCTTCTCATTGACCCCTGTCAGCCCAGGGTGCATATTAACCTTGGAACAGATTCTGTCTCAGGAAACTGGTAATCAAGAAGCATCCTGTTTGGGACAGAACATGGGCCCAATGATCAAGGTCTTCTTGGTGCTAGGCGTCTTTTTTTGTGCCTTTTTGTTTATTATCTAGACTTCCTGGCCACTGGCTGCTTATAGTGCCTTTCTTAAACTCTGGTTGGTATCTGAACTCCTAGTTTCTGACCCATCAACTTTGGTTTTGTTGTGCAGTTTACCTTTGCTTTACTTTACTGATTTCTTGTTTACCGTATTGCCTTGGGCTTGCATATGTCTTGAGATACTCAATATGAATCGTGCTACCCCAGATCCTGGTTCACTAAGTCCCAGCCTATAAATTATCAACTCTCATGAGCCTGATACTGACTAAAGTATTTTCAGCATAGGTACTTATGGATTTGGTGATCCAAGAATATTTACATGATTAAAAATGGTTAAGATTCATGAAGTTAGATGATGACATTGAAGGCTATCAAGCTGAATTTTTGAGTGTCAACTAATTTGCAATCAATTAAATTTAAAGGTACATATGCTTAGAAATCTTGAATTCTAGTATATTCGTCCAGTTAAAGAGCTAAGTTACATAGGCAAACACTACTATTTTTCTTTAATTTTTTGGAATTACTGAATATATGCCTTGTTCTATGTTTTAAAATTTCAAGTAGCAAAATTTCATGTAGTAAAATTTCAATTTCAAAATTTCAAAGTTTATTTTGTTTATTTTGCTACATTTCTGGCTAAGAGTTTGGTTATAGGCTTTCATCAATAACATTCTTTTCTACAGAACCCGCATTAGATACTGTTTAGAAGTTGTTTTTAGCTTTACAATGTTTTAAAATAATAATGTCAGAAATATTAGGTACTTTAACTGTTTTATAATTAAATAATTTTTTGCTTGTTTTCTGATATTTAGGTAAGAATGCTCTGTCCATTTAGAGATTGCCAATTGAAAACATTAAAAAATAAAAAAATTAGGAATAGCTTTATCTAAAGCAAAGGGATTTATATAATATTTACATTAATGAGGTAATCATATATCTCGTATACATATAGATGTTATTTTTTTAATTAATATATTGGTAAGCATACATTAAACTTTGTAAATCTTTCTACAATTTTTTAATAAGTAGAAAGGTATAATCTTATTTGTTTTATGCGGGTGTGATTTGAACTATTGTTATTTATTTAATACTTCTAAATGCACACGTGTGCAGAATGCTTCAATTTTAGAAATCAAAATCAGGTTGTTTAAATAATTATTTTCTCTTATCTGACTCCTATCCCAGGGGTTATACAATGTATTCTTGATGAGAGATATGATACTTCCGTTCTTTTCCACTTTCTTTTAACAAAATATATCTTTGTGACATTAGGAACTGTCAATATTTTACTTTTATAAATACATAAGAGTGCCAGACAGAATTCTTAAGAAATCAAAGTAACATTACTATTAATTATTAAAATTAATATATCTTATCTAGATCTTTGGGTAAATCAAATGGAAGTAAAAGGTTAATATATTATAATGTAAATTAAATAATCTGATGTTCTTAATTATTTTGAATCACAACAACTCCAGTGAGAGGGAAAAGCCACACAAGTTGTCTCTTCTTATTTTGCCGCTGAGAAGTTGTATGACCTTGAATTTATCCTTAATCTCCTATAATGATGGAACTTAACACTACCAACACTTACCTACCTCACAGAAATAATGTGAGTATGAAAGGTCAGATAGCACTTTATTAACTCAAATAGTGTTACTTAAAATTTCAATATGATTAGGAATCAAAATTTGAAACAAATGTCATTTGTTAGTTTTAAAAAAAGGTGAGCTGTTAATAGTTTGCAATGTAACGATATGGAGATAGTTCCTTCTCTAAAAACTATGTGCCATAGAAATATTAAACTATATTTAGGAATCAGCAGGATTATTCTAACAGAGAGAATGTAAACTTTACTTAAAGAAAGCTATAAACCAATCATATTCACTACATAGAGAAATGAAAATTTTATATGTAGGATGTAAAACAGTATAAATGTATATTCATCTATTTAGTTGCTTATGCAGTCATTTTCTCTCTAGACCAGTGGTTCTCAATGCAATTTCTCAGGGGCGATTTTGCACCTCAGGAACATTTGGAAATATCTAGATACATTTTTTGGTTGTCACAGCTGCTGAGAAGGAGCTTCTGGCATCTAGTGGATAGAATTCAGGGATACTGCCAAACATCCTGTGATGCACAGGGCTGCCCCTCTCCTCCACAGCAAAAAATGATCCTGTCCCAGGTATCAACAGTATTGAGTTTGAGAAATTCTGCCCTAGAGGCTAAAGTTGCAATCTTGATTTTCCTGAAGTCACACACTGTGGTTGTGTTCTTTTAGGGAAATTGCCTTGACACTTGTATCTGATCGTTCTCATCAATAGATGAGGATGAAAGTATCACTAGCATATGGGATGTTATGATACAGAATAATGACCATATATTTTCATAGCATTATGAAAATATTAAGCGTTATAAAATTGTGAATAATTTTAAAACAACTCTTAAGAAAGTTTTGCTTTGCAACATGATTTCCAACATTAACACACATTAGGATGAAGGAAATGGTAAATACATGAATATGAAGATTTCATAATTTTATTTATGAAAACCCCAGGAAGTAGAGTTTATTGTTAACAACTGAGTCTCTGTCCATGATGTAGATACAAGGGGCAGGGATGGGGTTGATATCGGGGAAGTGACTCTCTGTGTTGATTCTTGTAGGAAATTCTGAGTGTTTTCCAATAACGACTGTTGATATAGAGTCAGCTGAGTGCATCGCCATTTAGTTACTGAAAAGTCACTACACAATTTGGTCATTGTAAAATTTACTTTTGCATTTAAGTTGTGGGCCCCTTGTTTGTGAAAAAACCTGAGGGAGTTGAACATTATAATGTAAAACATGGTTGTATTTCTGATTTTTCAACTTGCTGATTAAACTCTCTACAAGTGTCTTTGCAGTTGTCTGTTTTGGGGGGATAAATATCAAATTGAATATAATTTGTTTATCAGCTTTTACAAAGAGTTATTTTTACTCTATTTACCACATAAAGGACTCTTCCTATATACTATATGTATATTTTAAAAGTGTAAGCAAATAAACATGCAGAGCTTTTGTCCCTGAAGAATATTTTATATTTTAGGTAATAAACACTGTATTTGAAAACAAAAAGTAATATTTTTAACACTGGAAATTTCTTAGCCACTATCTCTTTGAATATTCCCCCCTCCCATTTTCTCTATTTTGTAACTCTTTAACTCCTATTAGATGAATGTTGTACCTTTTAATCCTATCCTCCATGTCTCTTAATCCGGTTCATATTTTCCATCTTTTTATATTTAAAAATTTCAGGATGCATTTCCAGGATGCATCACATAAATATAAGTGAAAAGATATTTCCTTTCATTTTTTTTCAGCTGTTTCTAATCTACTGCTTAACTTATCCATTGAATTTTCCGTTTCAGTGACTTTATTTTTTTCATTTCTAGAGGTAGATGTGCTTTTTCAAATTTTTCTGTTCTTTTATTCCTAATATTGGATTCTTTCAGTATGATTCCCAATCATTCTTTTATCTTTTTAATGATTTTAACCATATTTATTACTCTTTCATATTGTTATATTATCTGAAATTCTTGGTGTGCTAATTCTTCTACTTGTTCATTTGGTTACTCTCCCTCGTGGTGGTTTCTTTCCTTATGTAACTGATCATTTTAACTGGAAGTTTATCCTCAGTAGGGATTGTATTTTACCTAGTGAGAGTTCTTGGGGCTATGGTTAGTGAGAGTCTCTACAGAGAAGTTTTAAGTAGCCTTTGTTGTGCCCTAGTTGTTTCAATGGCCTTCAACCAATTTTACGTCATTATCTCAGGTTGGGCTTCTCTCTTATGTTCACAGCATCAATTTTCATCCTATACCTACCCGTGCATGGCACAGGATTTAGGTTTGATGCCTCAAGTACTTTGTTTTCCATCCAAAGGCTTGGATAGAGGCAAACTTCCTTTAAAATTCCCTTTTAAATGATGAGGCAGTTCTTCAAGGCTTCAGACTTTTGGTGATATTTGGAGTAGAGTGCTGACTCCTCCACATTCTGTGGGAAGAACCCTCATCTTTACTCCCAAGAGGACATAAGAACTCATCAGGGTCTATACCTCCATAGGTTACCCAACATCTGCTGGTATCATTGCTATGGTTTTGATTGTCTTTTTACTGTTGGGATTGGTGTTTCCCTTTTCATTTTTACAAGTTTGACTATGTATTAAAATTTTTATTTTGTGACATTTGATTCAGAATTTCTATGGGTTTATAGCAGAAGGGGTGCTCATCTGTATCCATATGGACTACAAGTTGTTGGAAGTTCTGTTATTATTCTTTTAATTTGCTTTATCCTAGGCTATGAAGACATGAGGAGATATTCATCACACATGGCAATTACAAAGCAATGTGAAAAATAGGATAATGTTATTAAGTGAACACATGAATGCTGAGGTACATGGGAGAATTTTGTTTTTATATAATAGCTATATTGAGACATGTCACATACAGTACAATTAATCCATTTACAGTATACAATGCAATGGTTTTTTATATTCACCGAGTTCTACAACCACAATCTTAGAACATTTTCATCACCCCCAAAAGAAATCCCATACCCATTAGCAATCACCCCCCCTTGTCTCCCAACCACCTTAGCCCTAGGTGAGCACTAATCTACTTTCTGTCTTTATAGCTTTATCTATTCTGAAAGTTTAATATAAATCAATCACACAATATGTGGTCTCTTGTGACTGGCTTCTTTCACATAGCATAATATTTTCAAGGTTAATCCACGTTGTAGCATGTATAAGTACTGCATTCATTTTTATGACCTAATAATATTATGTTGTATGGCTATACCTCATTTTGTTTATCCATTCATTAGTTGATGGACATTTGTGTTGTTTCCAGTTTTAAACTATTTTGAATGATGCTGATCTGAACACTGTGTACAAGTTTCTGTGTGGACAACTGTTTTCATTTCTCTTGAGTATGTACCTAGCAATGGAATTGCTGGGTCATATGGTTACTCTATGTTTAATCCTTTGAGGAAATGCCAGAATGTTTTCCAAAGTGGTTGCACCATTTTACACTTCTATCAGCTGTGTACAAGGGTTCCGACTTCTCCACATCCTGGCCAACACTTGTTATTATCTGTGTTTTTTATTATAGCCATTCTAGTGGGTGTGATGTGGTATCTCATTATGGCTTTGATTTGCATTTCCCTGACAGCTAATGATATTGAGTATCTTTTTATGTTTATTGGACATTTGCATATCTTCTTTGGAGTCATGTCTATTAAGATCCTCTGTCCATTTTTAATTGGCTTGTCTTTTTATTATTGATTTGTAACAGTTCTTTGTATATTCAAGATACAAATCTTGAATATACATTGTATATATATTGTATTGTGTATATATATTGTATATATATATTTTGCAAACATCTTCTTCCATTCTGGGTTGGAGATTTTTCTTCTAATTGAAAGTATTTGAGTTACAGAGAAAAGTCATTTGAAGTCTAAATAGAAGTAAAATATAATGTGATTTTGA